GCAGCACCCCAATGGCCATGGGGCAGAGCAGGAATCACCCAGCACTACCTTCTGAGATGCCCCCGATAAGGCTTGAACCACCGTAACATAGTGCCCCATCATCCTAGTGCTGAGAAGCAGCTCGGTAGGATGCTGTGGTCATTAGGCTACTGAGAGATTCAGCAGAACTAACAGGGTCACATTCCCCCATCTAGTTCTTGATAGAGGTCATCAACCAAGGGCAGTCCAAATCCTGACTTGAAGCCAGATTAAAATGGGTTGAAATAATCTCTTCCAAGAGACCTTGGAGCTAAGAAGCTACAACATGTAGGTTCAATACGGCCATTACTTTTAGTTCTGCTAAAAAGAAGCAAGCAGCAAGGATCTGAGCTTGGTGGCACACTTCTCTTTTTTTCTGTAATGTATGAAGTGCCCAACGGGGGGTTGTGTGCACATCCTTTAGCTGAGTGCAGTGATTGGATACGAATGAGAAATTCTGGGAACTGAAATATGTGCAGATTGCAAGCAAAGTTGAAGCTTGTTATAGGGCAGGAAGTGGCAGAAAATCACCCTCCATCCCCACCAACAGAATCCCTTTCTCTAGCAAAAGTGCCACTATGTCAGTAGAAAGGCACTAATTTTGTACTGGACTGGATGCAACCATCAAAGGCACAGATAAAGAATGGGAGGGACTTGGATTGACAGCAGCACATGTGAAAGGGATCCAGGTGTTCTGGTTGATCACAAGCTAAACATGAGCCTGCAGTGTGATGTGACTGTGAAGAAAGCTAATGCAATCTTAGGATGCATTAACAGAAACATTGTGTCCAGATCACAGGAGGTGGTAGTTCCGCTCTATTCTGCTATGGTCAGGCCCCACCTGGAATACTGTGTCCAGTTTTGGGCACCACATTTTAGGAAGGATGTTGACAAGCTCAAGCATGTCCAGAAGAGGGCAACCAGGATCGTGAGAAGGTTGGAATCCAAGTCTTATGAGGAAAGGCTGAAAGAGTTGGGTATGTTTAGCCTGGGAAAGAAAAGGCTTAGAGGGGACATGATTGGAGTCTTCAAATATTTGAAGGGCTGTCATGTAGAAGATGGAGCCGATCTATTCTCTCTTGCTCCGCAAGACCAGATCTAATGGGTGGAAATTACAAGGGAGTCGATACCGGCTAAATATCAGGAGAAACTTCCTAACTGTAAGAGTGGTTGAGCCGTGGAACAGACTGCCTTGGGAGGTGGTGGATGCTCCTTCGCCAGACGTTTTCATGCGGAGGCTGGATGACCATCTTTCGGGTATGTTGTAGGGCTGTCTTTCGGCTATGCTGCAAAGTGCAGGGGGTTGGACTAGATGACCTGCAAGGTCCCTTCCAACTTGTAACATTTTATGATTCTTACAAGTAGTCTTCCTCCAACAGAAAAGTGTGATATCATTCACAGAAGGCCATTATCATCTCAAGTGGTCAGATGGTGTTCCACAATTTCCACTAGTAGGTCTGAGTTGCTGCCTTGCAGACTGAAACACTCATCTTTGCTTTGCCTGTATCTCTAGTTGATGTACTGAATTTAGGAAGTATGTTATTGATAATATGTACACCTGGTAAAGGGAGTAGTGGGAACATAGCAGTTACCTATTTTGGATGCTTGCCACATACCACTTCTAATCAGTTGGCCTTGGGAGAGTCTGAAAAGTATAATTCCTGACCGGGCCATCTGTGAAAGCTTTTCCTTTGCTTTCTTCCCTTTAGATTCCTCAGGGATTTGTCCTTGATTGCTTTTAAAAAATAATCTTTGCTCATTGTTCCTAGACAGCCACCCATGGCTTTCAGTATTACTTCTATGCTGATGATGCCCAGCTTATGATCCCTGGACTTTCTGCCTCTAAACCATTACTCCTTTTGCTTATATTCACAAGTTCATTTTCCTTTTTCAGCATTCATTGTGGCTCCTTTCAGTAGTTCCTGTGCACCTTTGCAAACTCTGTTTAGCAAATCTGTATCAGGAACTTGTAAAAGTTCAACTGACTTTGTTAGGAGTCTGAATCTTATTGTTTATTGTTTGCTGTCACTGTCCCATGAGAGATTATTAAATTGTCGCTGACGAATTATTGAAAAGTCCTGGAAATTTTAAGAGAATGTGTAGATATAGAATGAAAAATTCACAATACAGTGTGAACAAATGCCCTTCTAGATTTTCTGTCCATTTCTTCACAGCTGTATGGAGACTAAAAGAGCCTGAAGAAGATAATGAACCAGGAGAAGCAGTGTTTAGGAACGCTCTGGCAAGGGAAGGTAGTTGGGAAGTTTTGTGGGGTTTTTTGAGGTTTTGCTGGGATAGCTGTAGTTTGCCACAAGAGGGTGCTAAAGTTCTTGCTTCTAAAGGCAAAATGTGCATCAATCCTGGGTCTGGTGTCTGTAGACCTTTTGACTTCTAAACTCTTAGAGTGGGGTTTTGAAGAATCTAAGCTGTGATAGGTGTGAGTTATGTATTTCCTACCATATGATTATGTTAATTTTTATTTTTTCCTGTTATTCTAGTGTTGAACAACATAATCTTATGTCTTAAATATTGGCTAGATGTCAAGTTGTCTTGTATTTTTTGCAATGAAGTATGGAATAAAGTGTACTTAGTGCATGATTTCTGTATCCAATGCTAGAAATTGCATTTATGGATAGGCTGTATTGAGAAGACAGAGAATGGTAGACCAAATCTCTGCCATTTTGTTTAATCCCACTTTCTTGATACATTGATAACAAATAGGAAGTTACTAATCTTTCTTCTGTCTATTCACCACTGCTTGAAAGCTATATGGAGAACTCATTTAATAGGTCTACATTTTGAAGGAGAAAGAGTAGTGTTTCCAAACCTTGACTGCTGTCACTGATCTAGTTAAGACTATGGGGAAAGCAGTTGCTGGTCCTGACTGACAAAATTATAGAGGCAAGCATGGGAAAACAACTGGTTTCAGTAAATGCTTGCTGAATAAAGAGGCTGCAGAGTGTAGACTTGAGGTAGAAAAGAAAAGTCGTGTTCAGTTAAATGATGCAAGAACTACTTAGTTGCATGTTAGGTACAGGTACAGGTACAGGTACAGGGAGTGTATGGGAAAATAGTAAGAATGGCCTAGTTAAGGACAGAAAACAATATACTGTTCAAAGACATGGTTTATTAGGTAGTGGCCAACAGATACTTATAGGTATGCAGCATTGGTAGTAATTTTGATATGCTAAAACTAGCAAACATGTTAAGAGTGTGTGTGCATATATTTTTAGTAGATTTATCTGAAAATATATGCATACAAATAATCTTTTAGGGTGTTTGAAGTCTATGAAAAGGGTTAGCCTTATTAAAGAGGGACAGTTAGGCATTGACAGAGGTGATTTTGTTATAAGGTAATCTTTTGAAAGCTTATAAGCATGTAAAACTAACTTCTTTGTTTCTTGACACAGCAGCCACCTTAGAAAACCAGGTGCTTGCTGTGGCTTGGAGTGCCTCTGCCCAGCTCCGGCTGGTGTGTCAGCTGTGTCCATTCATGTTTGAGTCAGATCTAGCCACAGTGATCCATGCCTTAGTTACATCTAGACTGGACTGTTGCAAGGTGTGCTACTTGGGGCTGCCTTTGAAGAGTGTTTGGAAGCTACTGCTAGAGCAGAATGCTGCAGCTGCTGGTCAGGGCCAGCTACTGGGAGCAAATGTCCCCAATGCTACAGCAATTACATTTGCTACTGATCTGCTTCCCAGCCCAGTTCAAGGTGTTGGTTTTGTCCTTAGAAGCCCTACTTGGCTTGGGACCAGGGTGTCTGAAGGACTGTCTTCTTCCATACATTCCTACCTGGGAATTAAGATCTCAGGGAGATGCCCTCATGACTGTCCCACCAATTGAAGAGGCTCATTTGGTGGGTACACGTGAGAAGGCCTTTTCTTTGGCAGCCCCATGATTATGGAACAAACTCCCCAGGAAAGTGCACCCCTGGCCCCCTCATTGTTGATCTTCAAAAGGTAGTTGAAGTTAGTTTTATTTAGGACTGCATTTGATTTATTTAGCTTTTAGCTATTTAGATTTATTTAGCTTTTATTATTGCCAGTCTCAATTGGAGTAGTTAAACTGAGTTTTTATCATTGTTGTTTTTATTGTGTTTTTAAAATTATTTATATCATAAGCTGCCTTGAATTCTACAAGGAAGAAAGGCGACTAATAAATATTTAAATAAATAAATTTGTTAAAAAGCTTCTAGCCTCCTCTATGTACTAGTGGGAATAAGAAAACCTTTGGTCCCATGTAAAATCTTTTATTTTATAATCAGCTATGTAGAATGAGGAGGAGGAGGAGATTGGATTTATACCCCGCCCTTCACTACCCAAAGGAGTCTCAGAGCGGCTTACAAACTCCTTTCCCTTCCCCTCCACACAACAGACACCTTGTGAGGTAGGTGGGGCTGAGATAGCTCTGACAGAAACTGCTCTTTTTCAAGGACAGCTGTGCCAGAATTATTGCTTGCCCAAGGTCATCCAGCAGGTGCAAGTGGAGGAGTGGGGAAAAACCCAGTTCTCCCAGTTTAGAGTCCACGCACTTAACCACTACACTAAACTGGCTCTCACACCAAACTGGCTCTCGCACTTAACCACTACACCAAACTGGCTCTCACACCAAACTGAATTGTTGGTATTTTAAGTTAGGTAAAGTTAAAGTTGTTTTAAATACAGTAGATCCTCACCATTCACAGGGGATCTTTTCCCTGGATACTGTGAATTTTGAAAACTGCAAATACTGGGAGGCCCAGTAGCAAAACAGCCAAATTTTCTGCACTTGAAAGTTGGTGGTATTTCCTGCTTAGCCACACTGGAATGAAGTGAAGAAGTAATGCAGTGCTACCAATGGCCTCCTTTGGTAGTACTGGGATGGGGATGGTGGAGGAACAAGAGGTGAGTGGTAGGTTGTCCTGTCTCTCTAGACTGGCTCACTATTATTCTCCAGGGTATTAGCTGTCCTTCAGATTTGGCTATTTTTCTTTGTCTTGCAGAATATTATAATTGAAGGAGTTTCCCAAGTTTGGAAAAACATAGTCACAGTCTGGATTGTCTCCTCATTATTCCAAGGTTGAGGATCTTCATAATCTCCCCTAGAACTGGATTTTCACCCTAGTTTAGCAGCTTTGCTGCTCACTTAAATACAGATGAATGAAGACCCCATTTGGAAAGGCACCAGGTCAGCGATCCAGAGCTGATGCAGGTAGGTAATGGCTCATTGGATAATGCTAACAGGTGCATATCTGTGTGTTGTATTACAGTGCTGGCAGAGAGAGGAATTCCAGAAATTACTTCATATAAAATATTTATGCTCATATTTCTGACTAAATACATGTAAATAGATCTGGATGAACGACTGCAGACACAGAATATAGAATTAAAAAATACCTTTCAACCCAGGTGATGGGAATAAAATCCATCTCTGATAAATAACAAGTACTTGAGGCTTATTGCATCTACAGATTTCTGTACTTACTTAAAATTCCTTCCAGATAATCACATTCTGGTGTGAGACTGAACATTGCATTAACATAGTGCTCTCCATTTGTTAGGGTGTATCCCCCATTATATGGGCCTTTTCAATGCATAGTGGATCCAACATGTCGTTTTTGCTGCCAAACTAATTGTATTGCAACTTTGGAAATCATCTCTACGTAATTGGCTTTCCTTATATCTGTAAGTTAATGTCTCACTATCTTGTGTATTAATTCAGTTAGTAGTCTTCAGTTTTAACCAGTCAACAGGAGAAACAGCTGGCTGGAATTCAAAATCAGTACAGACTCCTCCTTGGAGACCTTGGGTTCAAACACACACACACACCCCGAAGCTTTCCACCAGTAAAGTATGGAGAAAATACATTTTTCTTTAAAAAATTGTAAGGTAACATTTAAACATTGCATATATTATAGGTATCCCAGCAGCAATCCCTTTGTGGAAGTGGTGTGCCTTTCCACAACATAAGGCATAATAATTGGTGTTGGATGTATTGCTAACAGGGAAGTATCTGATTTTCACCCTAATAACTTCTACAGGTATTGTAGAAGGAAGTGTCCATTCCAGTTGAGTAACTGGGCAACTAATGAACCTCTTAGGAACATGAAAATCTAATTCTAACCATCCCCCTTCACACAAGATTTTCCAAGTTGCATTTATGCCTGGTTCACAAATGCAGGAGAAACACTGAGATGGCAAGAATGGACTTCATCACTTTGGACTGCAGGTGGTAGATTTCAGCACTGAATGTCCTTTCATATATCAAGGCCCCTTATCCCACCACATCTAAATTAATATAGTGCAACACTAGATCAGTGAAGCACAAAATTGCCCTCTTCTATTAGATGTTGCTGGAAGAAGAAATGGAATGCCCCCAATTATGCTGTCCTCCACCAACCCCGTACAACTGGCCGAGGGGAAGTTGTGGCTGTTATCCTCTATGAATCCTTCAACTTTCGCAGACATCTAGTACAAACTATCACTGGCATTTATTAGATTTTTTTTAGTCTTCATTCACCTGAAGGGTCTTGTGGTGACTTATATTAAAACCAATAAAGTAAAAACAACATACAAACAAATAAGAAATATAAAATATTTGTGACTTATCACCATACCACTATTAAAACAGCTTTAACATGTGGTTACTCTCCAAAGGCCAACCTAAATAATTCAGGTTTGCACACCCTGCAGAAACTAAAGAAGTCTGGCAGGGCACGGGTGTCATTCAAGAGTGTATTCCACAGGGCAGGGTCCACAACTGAGAAAACCCTTCCTCTGGTGACAGCTAACTGAGCCATTCTGGGACCAGGCATCCGTAAGAGGCCCCTAGACGATGACTGAAGGGAGCACGGGGGCTGTAATGGGAGAGGCGGTCCCATAGGTATGAGGGTCCCAGGCCATTGAGGGCTTTGAAGGTTAACACCAACACTTTGGATTGGATCCAGAGACTAATTTGTAGCCATTGCAGCTGCCGCAGACCTGGAGGACTATGAGTTGACCATGATGTTCCAGTTAGTAGCATGGCAGCTGCATTCTGGACCACCTGCAGTTTCTGAAGAATTTTCAAGGGTAGCCCTATGTAGAGTGAATTGCAGTAGTCCAGTCTCGACTGTTCCATGACTGTTCCATGGACCAATGTGGCAAGACCTGACTCAGACAAATAAAGAGCCAGCTGATGGGCCTGGCTCAGGTGAAAAAACACTGACTGCGCTACCATAGACACTTGTTTTTCATTGACTCATACTCCTTACACTAGTGACTAATGACAGATTAGGCATTCTTCTTGACTACTGGCCATCTAGTTCCCCGGTGAGCACACTTCATGAGTTAGTAGAGGAACTGTTAGATGTGGTACCGAGGATTCCTATACTAATCATTCTTGGGGACTTCAATATCAATAGTTTACCAGAACCGGCCCAGAATTTTATGGTCTCTTTGACTGCCTTGGGCGTCTATCAAATTGTCCTGGGCCCAACACATGAAAGAGGTCACACAGTGGATTTGATTTTTTGCATTGAGCAACTGAGGGATGGCCTGGTTTCTGGGTTAGAGATTCAACCTGAAGCATGGTCTGATCACTACCTACTTTTAAAGCCAAGGTAAATGTGACTCCAACACTCCCAAATGACAGGGGGTCCAGTTAAAATAGTCCGTCCCCCTGAGGTTCATGAATCCTACTGGATTCCAGAATGCTCTAGGGGACTTTAGGATCCCAAACACATGCTCAGCTGAGACTTCAGTGGAAGTATAGAACATGAAGCTCCTTGCAGCTATCAACAAGGTTTTCCCCTTTATAAGCACTTCTACCTCTGGGGCATAAACTGGCCCCATGGTTTACCATGGAACTGGGTGACCTGAAGATAGCTGGGAGATGTCTAGAACAATGCTGGTGGCGAACCTGTACCAATCTGACAGGTTATGCTATAGAGCTCATTGTAAGACCTATAAAATAGCGGTGACCACGGCAATGGAATGTTACTACTCTGCTACTATACCACCAGTTAGCTCATGACCATCCCAGTTGTTCAAGGTAGCTCAGCAGCTGCTGATGTCACAATCTGAGCCTTTAGTGGTGATACCTTTGCAATGTTTTTTGCTGATAAAATATCAAGAATACACTCTAACCTGGATGTCAGTTGTACCATAGGCATAGCAGGAAGCAGAACTAGTACACCACCTGTCTATTCATGGATCATTTTGCTCTGGTTTCTATGATGGATGTTGACAAGATCCTGGGATCAGTGAAGGCCGCTACTTGCACTCTGGATACTTGCCCATGCTGGATACTAAAATCATGTAAGGACCACATCAACAAATCCTTAGTATCTGTTATAAATCAGTCACTAACTCAGGACACCTTCCCTCTGCCACTCAAAGAGGCAGTTATTATTCCGCTACTTAAGAAACCATCCCAACAAAAATGATGTGGCCAGTTGTCATCCAATCTCTAACCTGCCTTTTCTTGGCAAAGTGATTGAGAGAGCAGTAGCAGTCCGACTCCTGGTGGTCTTGGATAATTCATCTGCTCTAGACCCTTTTCAGTCTGCCTTCAGATGGAAAAGGCTCTGCTAGCTTTTGTTAATGACTTCCATCTGAGTGTAGCTAAAGGACCATACCTTCTCATTAGACTATGCAGCTTTTGATACAGTAGATCATACCATCTTGTTGAGGCTTTTGGAGATAGAAGGTATCAGGTAGGTATCAGGATGCTTGCTAAAGTGGTTCAAATCATTCCTCACAGTTCAGACTCAAAGGGTTGCTGTGGGAGACTAGTTGTCATCAGTGTGGGACCTATCCTGTGGAGTTCCACAGGGTGCAGTCCTGTTCCCTCATGCTTTTCAATCTCTATGTAAAGCCCTTAGGACAAATCATTCATAGCTTTGGAGTTGCACGTCCTCAATATATGGATGATACCCGACTCTATATATCTTTATCCAAATGCAGTGGTGATGCAATAGAGGTCCTGAATAACTGACTGGCTGCTGTAGTAAATTGGCTAAGAGTGAACACATTGAAACTAAACCTTGAAAAGACAGAGGTAGTGCTGGTTGGAAAGGCGGCGGTCTTGAAAGACATTGTGCTTCCCACTTTTGATGGAATTCTGCTGACAAGCCTGTAGCTATGGCCCAACCTCCCAACTTCCTGCCAAGGCCTCCCAACTTCCTAGTCAGCCCAGCCCCCCCCCCCAACTCTCTGGGCTACCCAGGGAGGCCCCCATGTGGGCCATGGCGAACAGGCAGCTGGCCAGGGGTGGACAAGGCATGCATGGCGGTGGTGGCAGCAGCTGCTTCCCAGGCTTGGCTTTCTGCTGCTGCTGGGGGAGGGGGGACAGCAGCAATGCCAGCCAAGCCATTGATGGAGCAGGCGTAGGAGGGTGGAGAAGAGATGGCTGCAGCAACAGAAGGGAGAGTGCAGGTCTTGTGCAGGGCCTGGGTTTTTTCCACTTATTGGAGGTGGAGGGAGGGGGGTGCACGGGAGAAATAATTAAATTATCTAAATTGGCTAAGTGCCCCCCCCCCCCCCCAAGAAATTTAAATGCCCCCTGACTTAGAAATTCCGGGCTATGGGTGTATCTGCTGAAACTGACCTTGCTGACTCAGTTAAGAGCCTTGGGGTTATACTGGACCCAAATATTATTGGAAAAGCAACTTAATGCAGTTGCTTAAAAAGGCTTTCTTCCAATTTAGCCTAGCCCAAGGACAGCTTGATCTTATACATATCTTTATATGGCTGATCTGACCATCTGGATCCACATATTGCAGGCTACCCAGAAACACACTGACTGGCAGGTCAGGACAGGCCCTTGGGCCCAGCAGCAAAACTCACCTGAGAGGAGCAGGGTGGGACCAAGAGCAGAAAGGTGCAGTAGCCTCAGCAACAGGGCAGCCTTTGCAGTCTGGCCTAGAGAAGCTCAGAGGATGTGGAGGCAGTGAGCAAGCCTGGGTGGAAGAACAATGGCTCTCTGGGCCCAGATCTTTTGAGGCAGGGCTGGGAACAGAGGAGAAGAGGGTGGAGCTTAACTCAAGGGCGAGGTGTGAACCTAGGGCTGTAAAAAGGGAGGAAGGGGAAATGGGAGGAGGCTGGAAGGAAAAGAAGAAGGTAGAAGTAGGAGGCAGGTTGCAGTATCATGGCTCCTATGTAATACAGTGTAATCCTGAGGTGGGCAAAGTGAACCACAGTTTCTCCTTCAGTGGGGGAGGCATCCAAGCTCATTAGGTCACACCTCCACTTGCTGAAGGTAAGGCTGTGCAAATTTTTGCGTACGCCTACTTGGACAGAGCAAAGGTGTCCTTCCAGTTTGAATCGATAAGGCTGCTTCAGGAGGACGCTAGAGCCAAGCTTCGGCTGGGAGTGCGGGATACAAATCTGATAAATAAATACCTATTCAAAAACGAAAGTATTTGGAAAACCGGGATCAGTTCAAAGATGCAGAGAACAGATATACCAAATGGAGCATGCTTCCTGCAAAAGGGGGGGGGGAGAAACACAAGCCCCCCCCCCTGGTTAAGGGGAAGGAGAGCCGCACTTGAGAGACTGGGCTGGTGTGTCTGAGGCCTCAGACCCCCCCCCCCGAAAAAACACGTTAACATCAGCAGCAGCTTCAGCAGAGCCGCAAGTAGAGCTTGAGGCTCCAAACTGGCTAGAAAGAAACAGGGAGGAACAACACTATGGCAAAACAGAAA